GGGGTTTCTTTCTTATCAGCTCTCTGTGTCCAGCTGCTATATCTTTCTGTCTGTTTGGTCACTTGGTTGGTTGTTTTCAGCTCCTAACTATAGAAAACACTATCTTTTTCCTGAGGAGAATTTACCTCAGAAGGTTTTTGTAAGATAGCAAGTCACTGAACTCAGATGTGACAGCACACCTTGGACATTGATTTGCAGATTTTCATAAATTAGACACTCAGTATTATAGTCGTGATGATCACTGTTACTACATTTTTCGTAAAGCAACTCTGAGAATATGATTTTTTGGATGGCAAACAACCCCACTGGGACTTGCACTCAGTGGCAGAAATACCCACATTACCATCTAATGGACAACTTAGTTTGCAGCTGAAGACAAAACCTAGCATTTCATTGTACATTTTTATCAGTTTACCAGGCTGCATATTAATAGTAATAATATGTGAGTGGGTGTGTGTTCTTACTTCTGAAAATACTGGGCCCATAGAGAAACTTACTGCAAGCTGCCCACAGAACACTAAAGTGAATCATTACCCAGATGACATCTCTGTGGGAATGCATTTCGAGACATATGATTTGTTTCAGCATTGAGAACTTTTATGTCAGTTCCATTTGTTTGTTTTTTATAACATTTGTGACCTTTTAACTATTTGGGCATGTTCATTCAAAAGCCTCAAAATGAATCTTAATTAAAAAGAGTTGATCTAAAAAAATACTCCCTCACTCTGGGTAGAATTTCTGTCATATCAATCCACAGACAAAAACAAATGATGTTTAGGAGTAGTGGCATTTTCAGTTTGAGTTACTAGCATGAGCTTGTGTGATCTTGCTGAACACTGCCATTTGCAAAAGAGCAATTAAAACAGATGACAATCTGCTAATCACACACAGTTCTATTTAGAAATTTAGCAGTATTTTCCTAGTTTGTGTTTTTGCTTGACTTCCTAAGAGTAAAATTTTATGTACTTATATTGTATATAACAGTATGTTAATTTGGGAAACTTCACCACAGATCAGTAATTTTCAGTAGTCTAAAAATATACCCCAGTGTTGTAAACATCCTTAGTGTTTTGTGTCTGTGTATGTTTGTGTCGTATATGTTTGTATGCATATGTTTGTGTGGCTAAAATATTCCATATTTGTTTTACATAAAATTGTTTTTATGCTGATAGAAAAATTCTGCATTTCTTAACAGAAGAAAGTAATGCAACAGGCCTGCATAGCTGATAAATTAAAGCTGACTGGGAGGCAGAAGGCACAGGCATGTTCAGGATTTAGGATTTAGAAGTAGTGGCATTTTCACATTGGCTTACAAAGGATGAGCTGGCTCGATTTGCTGATCACTTTCATGATTTGTAGGTTTTGTCTATGATTTTAACCTTGAAATCATTCAAGGCCTATCAGTGGTAATAGTCCACTTGTATTCAGATAGGAGCTCTGGCTACACCTAGAGGCAAAGTGGTTCTGGTGGCATTGACAACAGCAACAAGAAGTTCCTATCATTTGGAAAGAACCTCAGAACATTAAGAATAGGGAGAGAAATGGATAGGAGCAAGGTAGTAGGAGTCACTAATGGAAAGAGAAAGCAGACAAATATAGGGGTTTTATTTGGTCACCACTTCATGATGCAAGGTCATTGTTCCTCTACAGAACTCTGACTTTTTCATAACACAGTTTGTGGTCTTCCAATTTGTGAAGTGCACTGCTATTCACCTGTTGCTCATTCTTCATGAGTGGCTGCATGAACTTCTCAGACACTGTGCTATGACCACTTCCCTGGGGAGCCTGTTGCAGTTCCCAAACACCCTCTGGGTGAAGAACCTTTTTCCGGTATCCAACCTAAGCCTCCCTTGACTTGGCTTTGTGCTGTTTACTCAAGTCCTGTCACTGGTCATGAGAGTGACGAGATCAGCTTCTACCTCCACTTTCCCATGTGAGGAAGTTGAGGACTGCACCAAGGTCTCCCCTTACTCTCCTCCAGGCTGAACAGACCAAATGACCTCAGCTGCTCCTCATACAGCTTCCCCTCCAGACCCTTCACCATCTCCATTGCCCTCCTTTGGATGCTCTCTAATAGTTTAATGTCTTTTTACATTGTGGCACCCCAAACTGCCCCCAGCACTCGAGGTGAGGCCGCCCCAGTGCAGGGCAGAGCAGGACAATTCCCTCTCTTGCCTGGCTGTGATGCTGTGCCCAATCCACCCCAGGGTTGGCCCTCCTGGCTGCCAGGACACTGCTGACTCGTGTTCAACTTGCCATTGTCTTTGACCCCCAGGTCCCTTTCCATGGCACTGCTGTTTGGCCTGTCGTTCTCTAGCCTATGCATACCATCAGGATTTCTCCATCCCCGGTGCTGAATCCAGCACTTAGCCTTGTTAAACTTCATATGGCTTGATTGCTCACCTCTCTCAGTTGTCAAGGTCTTTCTGCAGGGCTTCTCTGCCCTCCAGGGAGTCAATGACTCCTCCCAGTTTAGTGTCAATGGAAAACTTAGTGAGTATTCCCTCAAGTTCTGTGGCCAAGCTGTTAATGAAGAACTTATATATAAACAAGTATCCTCTTACTTTGTAAGGAAGGTGCTTTGTAGAGCTATCTTTTTCTATTCTTATTCTTTTTCTGTGGATACAGAATACAGGATCTGATAGTGTCATCTTTTAAAAGTGAAAAACCTTCTATTGATTTCACTGCCAGGTTGGATCCTTAAGCAGTGTAAAATAGAGCTGACTCTTGAAACTGTATTGTTGTTCATCTTTTGTTGGCTGCTACAAGGATTCTGCTTCCTGCAGCTGTATTTATAATTGAGAATTAGTTTTAATACATATTTTATTTTAAAAGGTAGATGGAGACCTAATATAATAAAATAAGTTACCAACGGCAGGTTATCAGAATGTTAAGGTGTGGAAATTATACATAGCACTCATTAGCAAGTGTACATTCAGGATAGCCAAAGTGCTGGTATATATGCAGAGTAATACTCCTGGAGAGGTGTCTAGACAGCTTTAGTGCTGTAAATGTTTATTGTCTTTATTCAGTATGTTTGGGAGAACTGTATGGAAATGTGGCCACTAGTAGCACTAGCTAACCTGTACTTAATGCACGTTTTCTTTGGAGATGGTTTTCCAGACCTTCAGTTTTACTGAGCTCAATTTTAGAGGCTCCTTCTTTCTTTCCTGAATTCCCATAAACATTTTGGTTGATTTTCATGCAAAATAATATAAAAATCTTGAAGTTAAGGCTTTACTCAATTCCTTTTTATTTCTATTCAGTGCAAAAAAAAAAAAAAATAAAGTCCATAAAGAGCAAAGATAATGGGAATGGTTCTGAGAGGAAGCACTTTTATGTAGTGGGAAAGTTATCATGTACTCTGGAAAAAAGAAAAAAGGAAAAAAATAAAGCTAGAAACATAAAAAAGTAGAGAAAGGGGGTAGAAAAAATAAAGATGGGGAGAAAGTAGCAAAAGGGCATCTACCCAGAAGCACACAAAAGAAAACTAGTGGTGGAAAAGGAAAAACAAAGGGACATTAGATAAGAATCACTGTAGGAGACTGATTCTACAGCTTCCCACTTTCCCCAGCAGTTCTGATAGAACTGGAAAGGGGTGTGCAGAAGGTTTTACAGCTGTGTGGTGTGTACTTTTGTTTACTTTCAGGTTAACTTTTCTTTCTCTCAGCAATTACAGTAAGTTCATGGAGGTGATGCCACATCTTTCAAAGATAACCAAACACTTAAAAAATTTCAGCATTCATTTGTACATGGTTATCTCATGCAAATGCTTCACTTATATCTAATTTCTACTGTAGATCTAATAAAAAATTCTATAGACTGATTTGGAATAAAAATGGTAGGCTAAGAAAATTAAAACAGAAACAAAACTTTCTCAAATCTTAGAAATATTTTCTGAATTTACTTAGATTTAAATAAGAAGTTCATGTAAACTTTAAAAGCTGAGATACAGCTTGTAGTTACAAATGCTTATATTCTGAAATATAAGTTGTGTTTAGTAATTATGCACTGGGGAGGATTAATTAATTCATAATGTGCTTTATTCACATGGGAACAACACTTTCTATCCTACAAGTAGAAAGAAAGAAAGCTAAGAAACATTTCTGTCTTTCTGTTTTTTAAAAAATAATCATTATGGTGTTATCAAAGTAGATGTATATAAGGTGTTCATGTCCCAAGTGAAGAAAAAATGGCATTGTACTTAAAAATTAGGTGAAAATATGTTGTGTCTGTATGTTCTCTTCAAATTTTTCTAGATCAACAGTTTCTGGGTAGGTTAGCTCACTGTTTCTCATGTTCCCTCGCATATCTCACTTAAATATATGCTCCTCACTTGGGTGGAAAAAATGTTGTGAGAAACGTGCTTACATCTTTAACATAGTAATTGTTCAGTTAATCTCATTTATGGGGGGAAGGAGGCTATACTTCACTGATACCGTTTAAATATCCTATACTGGGTTCTATATAAATAGCTACAAATGTGCACAATGGTTACATTACATGGTATATTTAACAACACAGCTAAATCAGAAAGTGTGAGCTATGCCTTTAGTGATGGGAGTACTAACGATTGCATGCAAGAAGATTTTTTTGCTCTGCAACCATGAAGGAAATAATTGCTGTTCAGCACTATTCAGTTATGTTTGCATATCAGTAAAAACACATGCACAGAGGCTCCACCTACATTCCTGGTGCCCTAGCACTGATACGAGGGCAGTGTACATTAAAGCTTCAGAAGTTGTTACATTTTTCACAACTTGCAAAGTGCATGTAATTTTCAACAGAGTTTATTTGACCACTGACAGATGAAAATGACAAGGTGACATTCAGGTTTTATGATTTTCTTTTATTTTGGGCAAAAAGTACCATAGGGGACATTTTACAGATTTGTTGCATGACTACTTCCGCTGAGGTTTTAAATCTTGTGGGGTTTCTCCTCTTTTTGATTCTTTGAAGATATAAATGTATAAAGCAAATGTTTCTCTTTCATATTTTAGATGGAAGACTTTATTTGAAAACTACTGTCATGTATTGAATTTTTCCTGCTGAAAATAACGTGTGCTACGGTAAAGAACGTTGCAGTAAGACATTGGCTCATAAGGAGTTCTGTGGAAACAAAATGTTTTCAGACCAACTTCCTCAACTTCATTTATCAATGTTCTTCAAAAACGTAAAGAATTCTACAAGAGTGTCCTCCTTTGGTTATCTCCTGTGGCTCAACCTGGAGATCTAGAGAATATTTGTAAATGTACAGTAGCACTGTTCTCACAGCTAAAATCTGCATCTCTGCGCTGGACTATTGTATCCAAAATTACAGGCAGTCAGAACAAGGCTGAGTATTCCCTTTTTCAAGGAATGCAGACTTTCTCCTCCTCTGATGATTCTATATTTGAGCACATCCAATGATCCTTCCAGCGGTGTCCAAGTACACTTACAGACTGTTATACCATACCGAAACCAGCAAGACAGCTCAGAAATGAACTTGTAGAGGGCATAAAAGGATTCTTATTTAAAAAAAAAAGGAAAAAAAAAGGTAAAAGAAGAAAAAAATTATACATTCAGTTTTCAAACAATGATCGTGGGTTTTTCTTCTAAAGACATTTTTTCCACATGCTTTCCAAGAGACCAACACATATATGTAAGACTACATTAAGTGAAATGGAATTTTGTGTAAGTGAAAAGAAATGCTGAATGTAAACAAACTGTTTTACCATTCACAAAGTCTCTTTTCCTAAAATAAAATTTAAAAAAAATAAAAAATAATAATTTCTCATTGTAAACTGGCAGGGGTTTATGAAATAAAAGACTTTGCTTCTTATCAAAATGTTGGTCACATGTACAGTATATAACACAAATCACACAAGGAAGGTATTATGTATGCAGTAGAAATCTAGAGTTTAGGAAATGAAACTTTTAGATAATATTGTTTTGTCACCCTGTTGGTCAGAAAGACACCTTTCTAGTTTTAACGCATGCAGGCATGTAAATATTTGTCCTGGAGTCACAGTATTACTGAATGAGATCTTAAGCATCTGGTAACAAGTCAGAATTCTGTATCAGCCACTTTTATTTGTATATTGAGCCCTGGTTAGTGCCCTGACTAGTGCACTTCTAAGAATGGACTGTGGCTGAGCAGCAAGTCAAAATGCCAGAAATATTTTTATATGTTAATGTCATATTACGTCAATGTTGCTAAAAAAAAAGAAAACCTAACAAACACTTGATGTATCAGTCCAATTCCACGTAGAACTGAGTGATACAGTTGAAGTCTATTGTCCCTCCCACCTTGTCTTAGGGATGGATGGTTATGTGTTACTTTCACTGTCTTTATGAAAGCTACAATATGTGTTTTCACCTTTGTGCTGATAACTGGAAGTAAGCTGCAAAACACTGCTTATTACATTACTAAAAATTATGTTCTTTGCTTTGCATACTTTTGGGTTACCCCTTTAAAGACTGATTTTGTGAATCAGTGCTATTACTGTAAGTTTTGTGATTATGCTTTCTTCATCTAATGTTTTATGCATATAAAATATTATTTATTACACGGAAACATATCAAAACCTTAAATGTTTAAGATGCCTAACTTAAAGCAAATATTTCTTTAAAAGTAGTTCTGATTGGATATTAATATTATTTTGTCAAAAAAAAAATCTAATGTTTTGTAAACTCTAGCACTGAGCTTCTATAGTTTGTAGGTCTTCCTCACAATACTGGTACACATTTATTTTGTGCAGTTCATATTTACTCCACCACAATCCTTTTTTAACAATAGAAAGATGTATATACAAGTTCACATCACAGTAATTTTTTTAAAGAAATATTGAGCAATATTTTTCATTAAATATTGTTGTCTAATACTTTGTAGTGATATTGTTTTCTAACCATGAGTCCTTCTTGATTGTCATAGTTGCTTAAACACACATGGGATTCTGTACTCCAGTTTTTTCATATGCAGTCTTTAAAGGGTTAACAGCTGTAAAGTTAGATGGACTTGTGGCAAGCTTTTGAATCATTCATATCTGAAAGAGAATTAAAAGCCTACAACTGAAATATGTACTAGCATTTACCATTGCTCTGCTCCTTGCATAGAGTCACCTGTAAGTAGGTTTAGTAGTTTTACAGTATATTCTTTCAAGACCTTTGGGAATGCCTCAGTGTTTGGCTTGGTACATAAACAGAAGTGTTAAGGATTAAAGGGGAACCAATTTATGAGCTGGATGTTTAGAAAGAATCTTGCTAAAAACAGTGTAAATATTACAGACCATGAGATGTTACCGTAAGTTGAAGTTTTTTGCCCCTCTTTAGTTTTACAGGTTTGGGTTGGTGTTTTGGTTTTGGGTTTTGATTTGGATTTTTTTTTTTTGCATAGATTATGAAGAAAAGTTGTCCTCATGTTATTGTTTATATGCTTTTGTAATCTTAAAGATATTAATGTCTAGTTGTTCTATATTATAACCATATTTGCGCTCTATGCAAGCCCTTGGAACAGAACATACTCATCTTCATGTAGGACCTATGAAAATTGTCTATTTTTATCTATATATTTAAAGTTTTCTAAAAATGAAAAAAGGTTATTACGAATTTTGTTGTACAAAATCTGTACAAAAATCTGTTTTTACATCATAATGCAAGAATTGGAAATTTTTCTATGGTAGCCTAGTTATTTGAGCCTGGTTTCAATGTGAGAACCACGTTTACTGTTATTGTATTTAATTTTCTTTTCTTTTCAACAATCTGCTAATAAAACTGTCTGAAATCTCCCTGTGACTTTATTTACAGTTCATCTTTATTAAATTTTCTGAAATGTATAACATCAGAGGAATATTTACTTTCTAATGGGAGGCATCTAAAAACAACATAAGTCAGCTCTTTGTAATGTGAGGCGAACAATGCTGAATGATTTTATTTAACATGCAACTGCTTCTATCTCTAATATGAATTACTGTGGTGAAAAACATCATAAAAGCACACTCTGTGGTTATTGTTTAACAAGCATATTTTCCTTTTTTTTTTCTTGCCAGCTAAGCAAACTGCCCCCATCTACATGATTTATTTATGTACATTTCTCAGTTTATGAAGCTGTTATTTGTACCTTTTTCCTTTATATTGTGATATTCCCATGATTCTTATTCCACAAAGCTTTGTGCTGAACAATGTAAAGTAGACACATTGATGGAACAAAACAATATTATTCCTCTAACTACAAAAATGCAGGGGTAATTCTGTTGTTTTTTCTCAAATCTCCTTCACTTGATAAAATATGTTTAGAAACACATTTTCTTAACAAACCTCAAGTATTTAAGCATTTAAACAGGCATTGGCATATCTTTAGGTAGCATTGTGAGAAAAAAAAAGGTGTTTTTTTCCAAGGTCAAGGTTGTTAATTAAGAACGAATTTGGCACTACATTGGTTTTGCTTATAGAAAATTCAGAAGTTGGAGAGGTATGACTGATTTTGAGTATTGTACCTTACTGTCCTGCCTTGCCTGGCCTTGGCTTGCCTTCTCTTCCCATCCTTTCTCTTCTCTTCTCTTCCTTTCTGAACCATACCTACATGAACCCTTCTGCTTTCATTATGGGCAGACCTGGTTGGGACAGCAGAAGAGATTAGCTTTCTTGGATAAGCCCACATCCACTATTCCTCGATGGCCTGGGGACTGACAGGCTTCCTGGGATCCAGCAGCTTGCTGTTGCTGGCTGGCTGACTGGGAGTTTGGTTATCTGTATGTAGGGCAATCACAGTCTCCTTCTGCCTGCATTAAAATATTCTGAATTAGTAAGGATCCCAGCTACGCTGTAGCCAGCTCCCCTACTATAAACTCTGGCACAGCTAAAGCAGGGTAAAAAGCAAACTCATTAATCTCAGTCCGGCTCATGCTGAAACCCAAATTATCTCTACAGTAACAGACTAGCAACCTACCTCTGTGTTTTTAAGCATCCCTGGAAATCATTTCTTTCAGCAGAAAGGAACTGTGCCCTCAGAAGTTCTACCTTACCTCCATTAATAAACAGCTGCTTCATCTGTGCAAGGTACCTGGCATTTAACAGGTCTGAGGTTGGATAGGCTGAGAGATAGCCAGATGTTGATAGTCCTTGTGACAGATAAAATAAATATATGTCAAAACTCAGATCAAAACCTAGAAAGTTTGCCCTTAATATATCTTGCCCTAAATTTGTAGTGGGTTATGCTCAGATCCTGAAGAATTTGGGACTTAGCAGCTAAACATCTAAAGTTTTAGGAAAATCCTTTAAGAACTGACAGACTCAAATAAATGGGAATTACTTTTTTTTTTTTTTTTTTTGTATTTTTGCAGTGGAAAGAGATACAAGGTTGGGTTTTGATCTGAAAAGTAAACCTCTTATTTGTTGAAGCTTCTATAAATTCTTGAACATTGCTTCATTTGTTATGTGCTTACATGTTATTTGACACAAGACTGCAATAAAAAAAGACTGAGGCCAAGATTTTCAAGCGTGACTGCTGATTACAGACACTTCCAGTTTTGCTGGCCAAACTTCAGACATTTTCAATGCCTTTCTTAAAATAAAATATCCTAGCTCAAAAGTTCTGTGAAACTTATTTCTTCAGTAGCTGCTAACTCGTCCATAGGATACTGAGAAATGTATTAGTGTGCCTTTGCTGAGCAGGAGCTTGCCCTGATCAATGGTGATGGTTCCACCATCAGCAGTATCACACTATTTCAAACTACAGCCTCCTGCTTAAAAAGCTTCATTTTCAAAGAGAGAGGAAACAAGGACTTCCTGGAATTCAAGCTCTTAAAAGGAATCAAGTTAGAAATAAAGTCTTGACATCCAGAGTGCTTGGAAACTTTGTAAAAGTTCACCTAAAAGTCAAGTAATATGAACTACTAAGCAATTTGGGAGAATTTGTACATGATCTATGGAGAAACATGATTTTGTCATCCAGATTAGAGTAATAATGGTTGGCATAGTCCAGTGAATTGGTTAATAGATGCTCTAAATTTGATTCATAAAAACACAGCTAGGTTCATCTTGCTGTATTACAGAAGGACAAGAAAACAGATCCCTACTACCAAAACAAAACAAAAAAATAAACAAATAACCCCCCCCAAATTTCAAAACCAATCAAAACCAAACAAACAAAAAAACCAAAACAAAACCCCCAAAACAAAACTTCCAGCTGGATATAAATGTGAAGTCAAAATAAGAGGGATGAAGTGCTAGAACAGTTTTCACAGAGAGGTTTCAGGATCTCCATCTTCAGAGATTTTCAAACCTTAGGTGAGCATGGCCCTGAGAAACCTGATCTAACTGTCTGCAGTTAAAAAATATTAGACTGCTTGACCTTCAGAGGCCATTCCAAACTCAGTTTTTTGTGGTTCTAGAACCACGAGGCTTATTTGCATGATGCCCTTCTGGGCATAACACTTTCTGCATCCAGCTTAACAAGGAGCAAAATTTTGTCCTATAAATAGCAGTTGTCAGATCTGGAATAGAAATTGCTGTGATATATTTAAGCATTCACAGCTTTTTGATCTTCCATATCAGG